GTGAAAACCATTTAAACATGTCGCACTTCCATATGTCAGGCAAAAACTAAATATTTGGTCAGTAGTTTAATATAAATGGACATTTTTTTCATGTGTATAGTTGCTGATGATTCTTGAAGTGAGCTGATTTTGTAATTCATCAAATTCTGTAGACTGGAGCTTGCAAAGTTTACATGCAGTAAATCTTATGCATGTACGTAATTAATTTGTTTTGAGCATTTGCATATGTATGACATAGCTTCTACACTATCTTCGTACACTTTGGAATAACCGATAGTATAATATAATGTAGATTTTTTATCGAGTGAAAAGTGTATTGTTTTGTAATAAGCTCTCTCTTGTGACTGTCTGGAATAATATAAATGTTAAATATTGACGCAAGACGGGTAACTGATCAAAGTTATGAGCAAAGGCTAAAGCCATTGCATAATTTTTCAAATATATATATATATATATATATATGAACTTAATAATTTGATGAAACCACATACTTTTTGTTTAAAATAAAATTTTCATACTATCTGGATTGTTGATTTATAGGTAGATGGAGACCTTCATGTAAGAGTGACATCATCACACCTCTAGGAAGAAGTTATCCGTGTCCACTATGTGACAAAATCTTTCGATCACTGAACTCCCTTAAAAACCACCACTTCTTCAAACATAAAAGTCAGAAAACCTACATATGTAAATTTTGTGAAAGAGTATTTACCAGGAATTCCTCCTTGAAAAGACATTATATTATGAACTCCTGTGGTGGAAAACCAACAAGTATTATTTTATAAGTGAAATACATTTTTTTGTTCTTTCACAACATTATGAATGATGTCTTTGTTCTTTTCTTTCTATTTCGGTATTAAATGTCAGAAAACTTTCATTACATTACAATAATGTTAATTTTATTGTACACATCATGATCCAAAACCTTCAGAAAATAATCTATCATTTGATTTTATTCATTAAGATGCCCTTCTAATACACACATACACATACAGATAATTCTTAAGAATGAAGACCCCCCTTAGTGTCTTAAGTGTATTGGGACTTTACATTATTCACTGGTGAATAATGGATTTAATTATAATTAATTTTTGTTTTCTCTTTCAGTACAATTAAAATCCTGTGATTAGATCAGTTTTTCCTCGAAGACTCACTTTTTGTTTTCTCGTAGCCATCAGTATTTGTTTGTCTCTCTTTGTGGGCGATGAACTTTCCAACTGATATTTTTACCGTTAGATTGATAGGCAGACTTTCTTTGTTCATGCAGCAAGTTACTGTATCTGCAAGAGAACTTTTAAAATAATTAGAAAGTTAGTTACACACACACCCCTCCCTTCCAACATACATATGGTACCTTCAGTTTTCTGATAAGAGCATAATTGAGTATAGATACCTTCAAGTTTTTGTATAATATCATTTGTATGATCTTACCCATGGCAAGCTATTTTCAAACTTTTTTTTTCCAGTTTTGGAGATGATAATGTGCATAGCTATGTAGGAATCTTTCCAGTACCCACGAGATATTAGTTATAACAATATGAGCTTTTTCTTTTCTACAGATTTTTTTTAGTTTTTACTTTCTTCTGTGATTATATATTTTTTTACATCCTTGAATGTAGTATTTTAATCAGTCTATCTTTTTCACTTGCACTGTGACTTTAGACCCAAGAGAAAGTCATTAAAACATGCTATAGTCCGAGGTAGCTTGACAGTTTCCAAGTCAGCATTGTATAATTGTTGAATAAATTCAATATTGAATTATATTTAAAAAAGTTGTTGTCAGACATTTATTTTAGAATTCTTTATATGCTTTTGCTCTTTTCAATGCCCCCTTTCTGTCTAGGGTTTTTATAGGACAAAGAACAACAACATAAATATCAGACTGGGAAAAGTTCAAAATAATTAGGGTTTCTAAACATCATTAAATTAATTGAAAACATACTGTACAAAAGCGTATTAACATTGTTTTTAGAAAAATGCATTCTTGTTAAGCTTTTGAATGATAGCTATTTGGTTTTGTTACTATAATTTGTCTTTGTTGAAAGTTCAAGGAAAATGAAAAGTTGCTCTCTGTCATTTAATATTCTTATGATGTGACTTATCAGGCATTATTTTAGTTTTAT